GTGTTTCTTTTCTATTATTCTTATTAAGTAATATCCTACTTTTGGAAGGTACAACATGATGCAAGAAGTACCTGGTAACTATACATTATACTTAATATTATTAAATTATAATAATTATGGATTTATGAGAATTTCGAATTTGATTTTTCACATTTTTCACTTGTCAGTAAGATTTTCTTATGATTATGCGAGCAGTATTGTTATCAAGGTAGACGGGATGAGTACGTTAATGTATGATTTAACTATAAAGTATCAAAAAATGCAACAAATTGGTCCCCCGAATTTGGTCGCATTTATCCCCGGACAACACCGTGTAATACAGCTAGTATAATATTATATTGAATTTTGTTTTTCAATTATAGAGGGTGTAACAGAAAGATATGACAAAATCGATTTTGGTTTTTGGTTAAACTCTAAAACAAATGAACGTATATACATGAAATTTGCACTGGTAGTTTATATTTGCATTTTCTATACACGATAAAATTTTCAAAACATTTTGATTTGTTTTGAACTGTTTAGGAACATTTCCAGTATACGTATATGTCATATCTTTCTGTTACACCCTGTACACCACGTTCAATATACTACTTGTATCAATGTATATAGTTATACAGTTATTACGTGTACGTTTGCGCAACAGACCCACCCTCGATCAATAAAGCCACCTTGGGGTTGACGAAGCCTACCCTCGCATTCTCACTCCCCACGAACAAAGGGGAGCATGAGCAGATGCGGAATAGTTTGCGATCAATAAATCCGGGCGCCTGCCGAGCGCCTGCGCTGTTGGGATTATTTTTTAGAGCTTATACAAGTTTTTCTTGTTGATTCACTTAAGTTTTCATTATACAATAAATGTTTACAAAAGTATAATTGGACAAGTTTTAAAAATACTAGGAAAAATAAAATTATAAAAGTTACTTTTTAGTTAAGTATATTATTGTCCACCGCGGGTGGATTTCCCATCTTGTAGCCCGTAGGTGCAGCTATTTACTTAATAGTTATAATATAATATGAAAGGTAGAGTGTATGACTCTGAGGCTTATATTGAATAAAAAAAAAACTTGACTGAATTTGATGATTCAACGATGGTTTTGAGTAATTATATTAATGTCACACAACAGGGGCTTAGCCTGTTTCGCCCAAAAATTACCGTCCCCTTTTCGCTCGGGTACTAGTTTCACCCAAATTTTGATTCTATATAATTCCCATTTCGCACAGAGTAGTTTAGACCAATTTAAAATTAAGTTGGCAATAGTTCAGTCGAATGTTATATTTTAGCGAACATCAAGAAGAAATTGTGCTAATTACGCGGTCTACAGATAACTTTAGGCAAGTACACAAAAGTATGTATAATAATTTTAAAAATAAGTGTATGTATTAATAAATATATTTTGAACGATAAAAATCGATTTTATTATATGTGTGGATTTTTACTATGGGGTAAATTTGATTTTTCAATAATACGTTTTTATAAAATATATTGTGGACTAAATTTATTTCTTTTGTGAAAAACAAAAATTTTTGGAAAACAAAGAGCATCGCCTCGTGGTGTTTTCTGGATAACGCTCAATGATACTTAAATATAATAATCATATTGCCAACTTAATTTTAAATTGGTCTAAACTACTCTGGGCGAAACAGGAATCATAAAGAAACAACATTTGTGTGAAACGGGTACCCGGGCGAAACGGATAGGGTCATTTTCGGGTCCCGCCCCACAACCAACCAACCCTCGATCAATAAAGCCACCCTGGGATTGACGACGCCTACTCTCGCAACCCTACGCCGTCTTCACGAACAAAGGGGAACATGCGCAGATGCGGAATAGTTTGAGATCAATAAATCGGAGCGCCTGCCCCGCGCCGTCGGGATTATTTCTTACTTCTTATACGAGTTGCACAGTTTTTATTGTTGCTTCAATTTAGTTTTCATTATACAATTTCTTACAAAAGTATAATTGCACAAGTTTTAATAATAATAGGAAAAAATGAAATTATAAAAGTTCCTTATATATTACGCGGGTATAATCCGGTTGGATTTCCCGTCTCGTAAGTACCAGCTATATAGTTGGTAGTTATGATATATAAAAGGCAGAGTGTATGACTTTGATGCTGATATCAAAACAAAACATACTAGACTGATATTGATGATTCAACGATGGTTTTTATAATAGATTGACTAGTTATTTTAGGGTCGCTTACTCACTATTAATGAATAATAATTGCGGAGCTGCGGAAATCGTGAGACGCCACCTGTCGTTGAAGGTGTAAGACACAGTAGTACATTATAAGTAGAATGTCTATGTTATAATATATATATCTTTTTTAAATATATTACGCCGCGTTTAATATACAACAGTCCCACTCTCGATCAATAACTTCACCCCTCGCGGCCTGGGACATCTCCACTCACATCCCCCCACATCATCTGCACAAACTACTACAGTGGGAGCATTGTCAAGATGCAGGGAATAGTCGAGGTTCAATAACCATTGGGGTACATTACTTTTGACATATACTATAGTTGCCACTTTTTGCTTCATTTTAATTTTCATTATTATAACATAATTTTTACTAGAGTATAATCTGTAAAATGTTTATTAATAACAATAAATTCGATGTATTTTAAATAATAATAATCAGTTTTATAAGCTTTGATGGTTTATTTGATGATATTTTGAATGTTGGGCCTCGCAAAATCCTAAGGACGGCTCTGTTCCTAGGTAATGTTTATAACTATTACGGCTCAGAATCTAAAATGGAGGATAGAAAATCTATGCATCATATTACTGTTATGAGTATCGCCGTATATGTTATAAACATTTTCACTTAATACTTTTCAACATTATTTTTTTTTTATTTTTAACATTTTAATTTTTTTAGTTTGCAGGTAAAACGGCAAAAAATCGGTTTTTGTCCGGACGGCAGTCCCCCTCTACAGCTAATTGGTTTATCCTCTCGGGACACCCCGTATAAGGTATTTTATTTATGTGATCAGTAGATAGTAATCAGAAATTCCGTTTACACACTTGTTAATATTACTATATATGGTATTTTAACTATTTACTTATTCATAGTTCATACTATTATATTGTAATGTATAGTTTGTAATTAAAAATCACTGTTATTTTACTAATTTAATATTTGTTTGTTTCCAGTGTATTTATAAACATAACTCGGGTTATATCTACCAGACAAAATAATTAATAGCGACTCTCAAAATTGAAAATTCAAACGAGACCCAGGCCATGACAGACTATAATAACAAATATTTTGTCGATATATGGAAGGAAACCATTCAATAAGGACAATATTACATTAAGTTAATTGACAGCCATTGGTTAAAATCCATCCATCCAAGCGCCACCTCATTCTACATTTGAAGAATTTTGTATGCCATTAATCATTATGATGTTCGGCTGCATCTGTGATTTCTATTATTATCAAGTTAGTATTTAGTTTTTGAATATTGTAAAAGAATTATTTGAACACTGGTATTTGGTGGGATATTGGGGATTATTGAATTTCAATATTTCATGTCCAACCTAAATTAAAACTAGCGGAAGATGTAACTCGGGTTTGGGTGGAGCACTAATTTATGTTTTCGTACCCTGAACGCACTAATATAATTGGGCAGCACTAAAACTTGGTAGTATAACGGAAATTAGTACTTTCCATGCTCCCTCTAACATTAAGTATTCCGCAAATTAATAAATTGTAATTTAATATTATTGTATTGTTTTTAGGGCGTAAACAAGTATTCGAAAGAAAAATATTGAATCGTTTTCACCGACGAACTAAGAAATGATTATAACATGTGTTATTGACATCAACAGTTCCTGTGGATCGTGTATACAAGTATAATTAGTTTAAAATGGTAATAGACTCACTTATTGTCAATTGATTTAAAGTAGAAGAATATGATTTAAAATTTGTAAGTTACTTCAAAGTGTACTTCGTTTTTACACTTTTACTTATTAGGGCTCAAATTATTATAAAATCTCAATCATATAAAATTATAGATTAAACGCTTTTCTCCGAAAAACAGGTAACAGGGAAAAAGCTGAAACTGTTTTCGGAAATGAAACACAAAACCCATAATATTTACGCGCTTTTCACTTTCTGATTTTTTAAGCAAAAATATATCTTCTTAAACAATTGATTTTTTTATTTTTATCAATTTTACGTAAACAATAATGATGACAAACTAGTACCTATTATTAAATATTCTAAATAATATGTTAATAATTAGGTAGGTCATTCCATTTTATTTGTTAAGCTATTCCATAATATTATAATATCTCATTTATTCAACTACATAATTCAAAAGTGATTGTTATTCATACACTTAAGCAAAAAAAAAATCGAATACTCAGTGATTTATATTAGGCGTTTAAAATAAAATTTCTGTCGAATTTGGTTAACTCGAACTTTCTAAACTCAAAATCGTAGATACCTTAAACTTTTCCCCGGTCCCTAAATTTTTCAATTTAATTCAAAAAAATCGTGTATAACTCGGATAGTTACAATTTTATTTATACATTTATAAGATAGATATACGGGTTTACTACTAACACAGGATAACCAGAAGCCTCACTTAATGAGAACTCAGCAATTAATCGAATAAGATTTAATATTAGAAAAACACAATTTGAAGGCAAGAAGTGGTTGCTCGATGTTTTCAACAAAGTAATGGCATTTGTGTTAAAACCATAGTTGGTGAAAGTGGTGATGTATATGTTCAAGTGGCAAATAATAAGAGAAAAAATCCCAGAGTAATTTATAATACATACGAAACAGATTTATTTAACCGGTGTATCCTGGACAAAATACCAGCTTTTAAAGGATAATGGTGAAGTGGTGGTAGACAAATTCAAGAGTGCATAACGCTGTTATTAGGAGCTAACATGGACGGTTTAGAAAAATTGCCATTGTTGATGATGGAAAAATCTGCAAATCTGAGACGGTTTAATGTAAAATCTAATCCAGTAGAATATCATGATTGAATTACGAAAATGGCTTGGTATTGCTCGTGGTGGAAGTAACACGTACTGGCTTCGGCGACGGTGGCTCACGGCGGCGATTGAACTGACTCCATCCGACAGCTGCTTGGTATTGCTCATGGTGGAGTTAACACGTACTGGCTTCGGCGATGGTGGCTCACGGCGGCGATTGAACTGCGACTCCATCCGACGGCAGCTTGGTATTGCTCGCGGTGGAGGTCACGTTCTGGCTTCGGCGATGGTGACGATGGATACGACGGTGCCATGGTTCTCGGCATATTCACTCGTAGTCAAAAAATACTTTATACGATGGATGAGAGAGTGTCCACGGACCCAATTCGATAACGGCTAATGAAGACCGTTATCAATTTGTATATACGTAGATAGAATTTGTGGAATTTTTTCGTTTTCCTCCGTTATTACTTACGTCTCTAACTTATTTAGTTAGTACACTGATGGTAGCACATGTGTCTACTAGCAGTGTTACTTCTTCGCCTTCAATTGTACATAGTATCTATGGACTCACTGAACTGTTCGTAATCTGTATTTGATTTCTTGAATGACTCTTCGTCGTTGTGTGTTACTTACTAACTTGTGGTCTTTGGCTATTTTGATTGTTCTAATTATTCCTTCTTGAATTTTGGTTAGGCTAATGTAAGAGTCGAGGCTTCAACCTAGCTGTTGAAGCCTTTATTCTTATATAAAAAAAAAAATAAACTTTGATTATTTGTATTATTTAAAGTTACTTATTTCAATTCAATTTAAATTACAGTTACCAGTTTGCTTCAATAAACTTACATTTATAAAACCAAAAACCTAATATTGTTATGTTAACTTTTTCATTTAATTCGTAGTACCATTTTTAGTAGTGTGAGAAACCGTTTTTAAATCAGTACTTATATAATCGGATTACTCATAGCTAATTATTTTCTCCCAGCCACCGTTGTATCCTGAAAAGTTTTTCGATTTTCTAACTAGCTTCATAGAACATTCGCAACTGAATATGGTTTGGCAAATCAAATGAATACTCGCTGTATTTCTACAATTTACAAGAATAGCTCAAAATAATGGTCATAACTTATAAGATCAAACCCTCAATAATAAATTATCATTGTAATTGTTACAAATTGACGAATATTAGACCTTAGCTAAATAAAAATATTATATTTTTCCACAGGTGAAAAATGATCTGTTATTAGTTATTACTTATTAGTTAGGTATTACGTACATTATTGTGTTGGAAATCAAAAATAATATAACTATCCTAGAGTAATTTTAAGCGATTTTGGTCTATAGTGTGTTAGAAAATATTATTGTATATTATTAATCCGATGATTTTTATAAGCATATTGAGACAAATGCAAACCGAAGTTGGATTATAGAATTTACGAGTCATCTATACTGCCCCCTTTCTGAGGATAGTAAATATTAAGTTATTACTTTCTTTTCTTAAATTTATAAATTATATTATAACCATGATATAAAATGTCTTCAATTTATCTTAGAATATCTTAATTATCTGTTTTCCAAGGCACCATCACATGTGGTGAACTTTGTACTCTGCGATTATATAGCCCACTAGCACCATGTCACGCAACAAGCCTTCAAATACTGATAAAACCATATAGCCAATTACAATATTAATTAGCAGATTGTAACCAAAAACAACAAGACTTCAACGTATCTAATTACAAGACCCCTTCCTACATCACCAAACACACCAGCAATCCAGCAATACCGCCTAATAAACCACCAAAAAAAACTATTTGCCACTCCTAATCGCTACGGCGTTCTTGTCGAAACTGAAGACGATATCGGGGATCAATCTGAGACTAATAGTCAGAAGTTCTCAGATACCACTACACATATGGCAACGAATGTCTCGTTTCCACCATCTATTTTCATTAAAGACGTGCTAAACTACTCAAAACTACTCTCTGAATTACGGAACTAATCCGCCTTAACAACTTCATATGTAAATCAACGTGCCAACTATAAAGGCTGAACCGTATACAAGAAGCTCCAAAATCGCCGCCGTCAGCCATCCAGTTCGACTAATTTCAACCAGAAACACTAACAAAAGCAGACTCCTCAACACCAAGTATTACCAAACAGCTCACGTTTGTTGTCTTCGTTATCTGAATTTTATATTATTTTTTTCTAATATATTATTGACATACTTTATATTTTGATGTCTTAGCAGTTAGCCTTTCATGCCATAATCTTAATGTGTCCTTGATAACAATATTTGCTTGTGGTTCTTCTATATTTGGTGTGATGACTTTCAACTTTAATTTAAATAGTTTTCCTTGTCTATCCGATGTACAGACTTTCTGTCCATTTCTTGAAACGCGCATTTATTTTTGTCTGATGATAGTTTTAAGCCTTTATCTAATGCTGTAAAACACTAAAATATATTATAGGTACTTTAATTCCGACTCGTCATGTAGCACGTAAAATAAATAATTATTATTCCATTTATTGTTTGAAAATGTTAATATTTTGATGTTAATGACTAGGGCAGTGAAATTATTGCATTAAAAAACTCACTAAATTAATTTAACTAAATTAAATATATTAATAATTGCACTTATAAATTTAAAAATTGCATCTAAAAAATTTAATTATAATCAATAAAATCAAATATATTAATAAATAATAATAAAAATTTAATATGATTCATATTTTTTTTAAATGGCTTATTTAATCAGGTTAACTTTTGGCATTTGAACGGACAAAATATATATGCTACAAAGTATAACGAACGACTACAGTAAGGGCCACAAAAACTTACTGATGATTCTAGCACCTCCATAGTACTGTACTGTACCCCTATTAAATATTACACCAATATTACTCGTTCCAATACGATTTCGGTATTTTTAAATATAATTAAATGCTAATAGTATATTATTTTATTGAGTGACAAGTTTTTATCTTAATGACCTAAATTCGATAATCGCTCTATAGAAATATTAATAAAATAATAAATATTACAACAAATATAGAAATTTGTTCACTGCTACGTTTACTTACTTTTATTTTATATAATCTTAAAATATATAAACGAAAATTATGAAAAATAGTTAAAATTTCAGTAAAGTTAAAAAAATCACCAAAATTTCATTTATTGCAATATAATTTTTTTTTGTTTAAACTAAGAGTTTAACGAAACATATTTTAAGCTCACTCAACAATAAATATCAGCGTTTACAAAAAACATGCAAATGCTACTACTTCACTGCCCTATTAATGACCATTATTATTTTGAGCTATTCGTTAGTTGTAGGTATGGCGGGTATTCTTTTGATTTGCCAAACAATATTCAGTTGCGAATGTTCTGTGAAGGTAGTTTGAGAATCGAAAGACTTTTCATGTTACAACGGCGGCTAGGAGAAAATAGTTAGCTGCGGGTAGTCCGGTTATATGGGAACCAATTTAAGATACGGTTTTTCGCGCTACTAAAAATTGTACTACGAATTAAATGAAAAAATGAACATAACCATATTAGGTTTCCGGTTTAATAAATGCAAGTGTATTGAAACAAACTGGTAACTGTAGTTTAAATTGAACTGGGATTGGTAACTTTAAATAATACAAATAATCAAAGTTTATTATATACAAATAATCCGCTAGTGATTTCATCAAATACTTGAAGTCTTAGTGAAGGTAGTTGCTTTAGGTGGATATGTAGTTATAATATAGTATGGATTAAAAGAAGAATAGGTATTCTAGTACGGTAGGTACCATCGATGCTGATCGGAGTTGGTTGGTCACATCTGGCAGTTCCCAACGGTGATTTAGTATAAGTGGAAGTGTGCCAGTACATCTTGAATTCAGATTCTATATGTTGCAGAGAAATAGTAGATTTTTTCACGTCTTGGTTTGAATGGTGGTAGTTTGTTTAAAAGAGACGCGCGGTGATCATTTGTGCAAAAACCTTAAACGTAAATTAAAAGCATTGAAAGGAGATGAAGCAGATATTCAATCTTATGTATCACAAACATTTAAACCGATAATCGAATCTCGGAACAAATTATATAACAGATCGCCAACACCATACAAACTGCAGAAGCCGATAATGATGGAGTTTCTAACGTGATGGAAGATGAAAGACATACAAATGAAGATTTTGATATCTGAATTGGAAGCTTTAGTAAATTAGAAGAAGAGGAAAAAGATAAGATATATACAGATATATATAGGTATAATACCTATACTACAAAAAAATATTCTGAAATTATTAAATTTATTGGAGAAGCGGAGAAGATATTTAAAAACAATTCCGGCGGCGGCTGTGGCTGCAGTGTGTGTGTTTGAACAGTCTATTTTATACTACTTGTTAGTACATAACCTAATATCAGATGGTCGTTAAATTGATATTTTTATAAATTTGATAATATTTGAAATAATATTTAAAAATAAAATAAATAGTTACTATGTGAATATTATAATAAATAAATAGTAAATATTGTACTGTTTTAAATAAAATAACACATTTTAAAATTTTTTTTAGATAACTTAAACATTTTGGCCGGGTTTTAGCATTGAGTTAACCAAGTCTGACTAATTATTATTCCATCACGGTTACTGACTAAATTCTATTGCTCTTTAAATTAAATAACGTTATAATATTTGTTTGCGGCTAGTACCTACTATTTATAATCAATACATTTGGCAACAACTTGGGGAAACTTAATATCTATATCTGTTGTGAGAGATGAGAGTATGAGACACAGCGACTAGATACATAAATACTTATCTTAACAAATATTTATGTATAAATGTAATAGTCCAGTCGGGAAATGGTTACAATATTATTTTGGTCTTCCGTGTTTACATCCACTATACCACTATACCTAAGTATCATATTGCTTTTTAAAACTTATGTCCGAAATTCCAGCAGGACATTAAAAAGTTAAGAGTTACATCTACATCGCCAATTAACTTTATTAAAATAAGTAGTAGCAAAGTTAAAGTAACTAAAAGAATATGAATGAGTGTAGACACACGGGGAGGGGGGTGGGGGTTATGGGTAGTAGATCCCCATATATATTTATTCTGAATATGAAGAAAGAATATTTATAATAGGTAGGTATAAAATAGTGAGATGGTAATGACAAAAATCAAATTTATAACCTGACCAGATGAATGTGAAACAGAAAAGTGAAACCTGATTTTTAACCACACCAGGATAATATATTTTATCCTGTCAGTTCGAAGTCTGAGAAAAGTGGGACGAGAAGTTTGATGTTGCCAAATGATTAATTTATAATGTTACTGGGGACAAACAAAAATTTTAATGTTATTTAATTGTATTATAAGTGTAATCGTTATCGAGTCATCTTATCG